AGAAATACGGAATTATGAATAAGGAAATATGAAGTTATTAATTAACACGGATTTGTCAAACATTACTTTAAAACACGAAAAGACGCGGATTATATGCCAGTAAATGAGAAAAATAAAACTGTTTACGAAACTGCCATCCGGTTAGCACAGTTGGATTAACGCCAGTCTGCAGAGCAGGAATTCGTGGGTTCAAACACTGGCCAGACCATCAATCAGGGACTTAAAACAGCTAGTAAGGTTATGCTAGCTGTGATCAAAGATCTTGTCTTAGTGATCGCGTCACTGGTTGGTCACGTTAAGCCGTTGGCATTGTGTCCTTTATCCTTCTTTATCAGTTGAAAGGGAACGCAAAAGAGCCCACAATTTTTAAAATAGTGACGAACGTAGACCCCGATGATGTAGTCAAGTTTCAAGGAGGATTAAGGCAGTGCCTTCACCGGTCCCCAGCTACTTGCTTTACGCTTGTATACCCTGCCAAGAATTGGCGAGTCTACGTAGTCAGTCAAGCCGTCGGGGCTCACAGTAAAAAACAAAACAAACAACTGATTGATCCCCAATTTTGTTTTAAGGCCACAAGAAGTTTTTGATTTTTTTCCTCTTGTCTCTACAGTGGCAAGCAGTTTTCGACCAAAGATGCCGACAATGATGTCTTGCAATCGACTCACTGTGCTCAAAGCAAGAGGGGGCATGGTGGTACTCTGGTTGTAGCCTGTCAAACCTTAATGGGTTGTATCATAATGGTGGATATATACAGGGCGATATTGGAATGAAATGGAAGACATTTAGAGGACATTTTTATTCACTAAAACGTACTGAGATGAAAGTAAAACCCAAATCGTAACATCTGAGGACAGTAACGAAGATGGGAGGCCTAACGAATGGATACCAAGACGACAAAACTTTGAATTAATCATTTTACGTTACAAAGAAAACAAACCCCCCTTTTCGGCGACGGGTGATTTGAGGATTATTCCTAAAGATGATAAATCGTCCATAGAAACAGATAACGAACAAATGGCTATGCTGCGCAATACTACGCGCCTCCGACAAAAGTTATCAATGCATGTGTTTATTTAATGCTTGGAATGAAAACGAATGGTGGTGTAATCCCTCGCGTCGCGGCTGGTTTTTAAAACAAACAGTTTCAGATAGGCCTGGACGAAGAGTTCTCACAACCTCGTTCCCAGAGTTAAGCGAAAGAATCTGGGAACGAGGTGAAAGCTCCCAGTGTCAAGAAGCAGAAGTGAATTTTTCAGGGCAACCGTGGAGTTTTAACCGAGGGCATTCAACCTTCGACATGCATGCTGAAGGGAAGCCGTTCGTTTTATAACCCCCTTTCCCCTCTTCCTTTCAACTATACACTACAAGCTTTTTTGACAAAAAGATCGGGTCAAGATTAAAAAAAAAACAGTGTCATTTTGTGCTTATAGATGACGTGAGCTATAAATTAAACACGCATGAACTGGTTTGCTTCTACCTTACTACAGTAGTTACTGAACACATGAAAATGATTGTTAAGGACTACCTCCTACCCTTAAGGCACACATCAGATCTGACCAGTTCACCACCAATGAGGCTTTCAACACCATTATAACAATCATAATATCTCAACGCCTAGTATTAAACTGGTTGGACAAGGAAGCGGACTTAGCAAGGTATATATATTAAAGTAATATAAATAGAAGCTTCGCTTTTACGCTTAGCTTTATCTATGTATTAGCAAAAAGTTTCCCTTACCGGCGCCGAATCCCGATAATAGGATATCTTTCTTTTTCTTTTGTCTTCTTAAAGGACCTTAAAAATCATAGGTTGTTATCTTCTGTTCAAAGCGGAGTCAAATTACGTACTTACGCTGGTCAAAGTCATATCAAAGAACCTTTATCCTTATATCTAGTCAGGGGCGGATCCAGGATTTTTTTTAGGAGGGGGTGCACTCGTCTCTTGCTCTACTTCAACACCAATAAACCTCTAGTTTTTTTTTTTTGTTGCAGAATACCAGTTGTATTAGAAAACCGCAGGTCATCTCAGGGGGGGGGGGGTGCGCACCCCCTGCACCCTCCCCCTAGATCCGCCCCTGTCTAGTATTAAGAAGGAAAAACAACTACGAAGGAATTTTTGAAAAGGAAATTCTTTCGCGATGTTTAAAGCCAGTTTCCTTAAAACAGAATTTTGGAACTCGAATCAGTTCATGAAGAATATGAGCATTGCGGTGGTTTCATTGAGTGAAAATGCCTCACCAAATAAATTCTCTAAAAACCCCTTTTAACTGAGTCATGTGTCTTGATTTTTTCGCTCTCCCGAGCAAAATTATCGCTTCTTCCATCGCCCAGAATAAGTTTCACGCAAATAAATTCTTTGCTCCGCGGGGCCAGCCTAATTAGAGTGCAATTACTTACTTTCACACCTAGAGATTTACAATTGGGATTTAAACTTTACGCGTGCAAACCGTTTCATTGACAGAACCGATTCTTTTTCGAGAGTAGTCGGTATTTAGCTGGCTTTCCGAAAGCTTATTAATTCAATTATTATGCCGCACATTGAGAAACTAAGCACTGTAAGTACATGTCGGGCGATGTCTATACAGCGCTGCATATCGATTTCTGAGTGACTACAACGGTCCACGAACAAATAGTGGTCTGCCTGTGGTGTAATTTCTCACTTCCCTCATCAATCAAAAAAATCAATCAGTCAATCAATTTTCATTGAAACAAGAGCCACTTGTGAACTTTTAGTAATGATACAGTCGAATCTAAAAATGAATACATTAACTATCTAATCTAATTGTTTAACAACTAGGAAAACTTATAACTAGAGCAGAACCTGCAGGGACACTCGTCTTGGTCCAGCAGGTTACGTTCTTTCAGGTTGTCAAGGAAATTTTTGCAATCAAAGGCCTTCCAAACATGAGGTGGTAGATTGTTCAAGAGCCGGCATGCAGTATATGTTGGGAGAAGTCACGGAAATAGGCTCCTGGAAAGTGAAATACATAATTAAATGCATGTAATTTATCATTTGATCTGTTTTCTTATCGGAATCAGATAGAAGAGACGACCGGAAATACCTCTGCCGTCGCCATAAGGCAACCGCATTTACAAATTAAGTAGTCTGCAGATTGGGAGCCTTAGTTTTTAGCGTTTTTCAGGCGCGCTCGAAGCGGACGTGATTTTGAGTCAATAGCGCCTGTTTCGCAGGCTACAGATTAGGTGTATCACAGCTTGAGCCTTCAGATCACCTGCTTGGCGTTTTTAATTTTCTGCTTCAACTAAACAGTGTGCGGTTATCCGCACTTAAACACTAAGGTCAGGCAAAGTTAACGCGCCAACAAACATATAATACGATGATTCAAGTGTCTCACTAGTCTAGTCATCAACAACGTTTTGGCAGCAAAAAGAACCTTTATCTTCTCGATCCCTAATTGTAGGATCTAGAAAGCTAAGCAATTTTCATTGTTTGTTGAGTAAAACAAGGTGGGTGGCTTCTGAGTTAATTTTTTGAAGATCTTGACCTTTAACTGTTGCTCTGGTAACAGTAACACCCACCCGAGACACTTAACCTTTTAAAAGCCGAAGCTAATAACTTGGAGTACATAGAAATTCCGGCTTCTAACTTACAAATCAAGGGCTATTTTTTATCAAAAAACGGCAAGCCTGTCTTTCGGCCTCTTCCGGCTGGAAATTTTGACTACGAAACGACTTTGACCGAGATGCCTAACTTGTCAAAAGTGATAATTAAAATTAAATGTATTCGGTGATACCGCTAACTTCCGCTTAGAAGTTTTTCCCTCTCCGCTCCCTTATAGACCCTCTCAGTTATAAGCCCATCTACTTGTAAACCAAAAAAACACATCACCTTATAGGCGCCTCTCCCCCCTTCTAGATATCGGCCACTTTCTAGAGTAGCAGTATTGAAATGCAATCGACTTTTTATGACGATTCGAAAGGTATTTCTGATCAGCACCGCTATTTAGCTTCTTTTGAAAAGCTTTTTTTAATCCGGTTAAAAGCCTCCTCGGATATATATAAGCCTTATCACCAACTCCCTCCTTTATAAACCATCCTAAAACCCCTTACGAAGTTGTTTTATACCAGGGCACACGGAAGTTAACGGTAATTTTTGGCTCCAAACACTATTAAGTGCGAATCGGCGGGTGTTCGTCAGCGTTGATTGGGTGGACGTTAATCCAAATTACACCTGGATCATAGATACTTTAGTCTAAGGTGCTTCAAATTAAAGTGAACTATCCAGAAACCGGCCCTTTGACATTTTTTTAACATCCGAAATGCTGTGAAGCCGGCCGATCAAAAATGCTTCTGCTACTGCCAATCGTTTTTTCTGTGACCACTGTATACAGCACCAGCCGTATTTCAGTGCCCGGTTTTCAAGCTGTTAACTTTGCCCAAGCAAAAGAAAGACGAAAATTGAACGGAAGCGTGATAAAGCAAGTTGATGTGAGGTCAGAAGATGGGTGTAGTCTTCAATGCGTCAGGAATGAACGTTGTCTTTCTTACAACTTTGAAAACACAAAGAACGAATCAGGGACTTTCGCGTGTGAGCTGAGCAATTCTGACAGATTTTCTGGCTTTGGTAATTTCACACAACATGACAATTTTACCTATAGAGGAATACAGGTAAAAATTCCTATTTTTGATGTTTTTCTTTTTTAATCAACCATGTTAGTTTCTCTCAACCCGGAAAATTTATATAACTCCTATGTCAACAACAATTACAAAATATCACGCCAAAGAAAGAAAGGCCATTACATGTATTCAAACCATCATCATCATCCATGTCTTAAACCATCATTCAGGGTTAGAGTGGAAACCCGATACAACGATCGATGTGCCAAGGGAGCAGTAAAATTATATCATTATTTTGAGGAATCGTTATATCGAAACTCCCGATATAACGATATGCTAGAAAAATAAAAGAAAGATCGTTATTTCGGGGTAAACCTTAGAGGATTGAATGACAAGGAGGCTTAGAATACATTATTATTTTCCTGAACGAAACGTTAGAGATTTCTCAATTACTGTAATGTTATTGTATTAAATTCAATGTTTTGCTTAAATCGCGACTGTGTACTGATAATATCGTTATATCGGGAAAGATTTTACCTTTGGTCCTCTAAAGTCTCATCGTATATCGGGAATATCGTTATATCGAAGATTGTTATATCGGGGTTCTGTCCCATATATTTTACTGTGACTTTTGCAAGGACATAGAATAACCATCGTTATACCGTGAACATCGTTATATCGAGGATCGTTACAGCACTCGAAGTTAAATTTTCTGTCCTTGTTTCAGCGAGTGCATGCAGTGGAAGCTCTTTGCGGAAAAACAAAGCTGCTCGAATGGAATACTTTCTTTGTCTTTTTAGTATCAATAGTGTGATTAAGATGGCAATGATTCCGCTTTTTGATTTACAGAGTTTTCTTTAACTTTTTGGATTTTAAGCTAAAGATAATATAGTATAATCCGGCTAATCCAGAGGGATGGAAGAAAGATTGTTCGTCCAAACTGAAGAGCGTTGTTTTCACATTGAGACCTGAATTTCAGTCAAAATATTTTGGAATAGGGCGTTCACCGTTCGAATTGGAGCTTTTTTCTCTTCAAAATGAAGAAATAACCATCCTTTAAATGCCTTGATCACCTAAAGATGTTTCCAAGATCAAAGCCAAAATAAAAGCGAATACCGTTTTTTTTTTAACAACATACATGTAGTAACCGTTGGTTGTCATAATATTAAGCATTGCATCCAAGAGCACGTTTTTTTTTAGACAAATTAGCATGAGAAGGCGATACAAGCGGGAATTAAGTGAAACAATTAAGTAATCCTTAGAACCACCTGCCTAGGGGTATACATCCCCTGAAGGCCTTCGTCTCCAGACTGTTAAGAAAACATTAAATGACATCAATTAAACAAACCTAAAAGCAGAGCTCCCAAAGGAAAATAAGTAAGATTATGGAAACACAGTCATGGCAATTCTTAAGCCGAAACTGCAGGGGAGAGCCACATTAACTATTAAACAAATCATTACCCATTTAAATAACAAAGTGCTCTATGTTAACGCGTCAGACATTGCCAGAAAATCGAACTGTGAATCAATGCAAACCGATGAATTCTATCACATTTTGGACACCCACTGACCAATCTTAATCTAGCATAATTATCTTTTACGAGTAATTTCAATTATAGCTGCGTATCTAAAGGTGCCTTAGACAGCCCAGCACGAGACTAAAATTTGAAAACAATGCGTCGAGAACATTTGTCCCTACTTTTAAAATGATGTTGTTCACTAGAGGAAACGTTAAAAGCAATTTACAAAATCGGATTCCTTGCTGTTGCAAAAATCCATGCACGAATAATGGGAAGAATGGCGCCTTCTCATTCTCTGGGCAGCCAACTAGTTTTGAAGGGGACAGCAATGTTCCGGTCAAAGCTTGAAGGAACAGTTTTTCATTGTTTTGAGCATTTTCGATCTAAAATTAAAATTTAAAAATGCCCATCCCCTTAAAAGTCAAAATTTGTTTAAATGTAGAATTCCCATCAATTTGTTACCAATTAAACTTAAGAGGGATTTCCTATGAGATAAGGCCTTAAATTTTTGGCTTCATCGACATTGACATTTTTAGTCAAATTAATTCATCTAAGAGATTTTCATCTTCAAAACAGAGTATCTGCGAGTCAAGCATTAATAATCCTTGTGGGAACAAAGGAATTTGTATCCCAGACTACTTCAGGAGCAGTTTTGAATGCAAATGTTACACTGGATATGGAGGAACACCTTGCAGTAAGTAATGGGCCATTTTCTATATACTAAAACTCAGCATGATAACCAGCTTAGAGAACACAAACAATGAAGCTGAATAAACAGGATTAGTAAAATCCAACTAGTGGTCTATTATCAATGCTGCGTTATGATTGGTTGTGCTACTACTAGGCTACATGTTATAGCCCACTAGTAGCGAAAAGCCCTAGCTTTTTGGCGGCAAAAAAGGATTAAAGTCTAGCTTTAACTAGCTAAAAGTTTTTTATTCTCGATATTTTTGACCAACTAGTTGGATTTTACTAAAACAATTATTCCTCTCGTCCTCATGGGCTATTGACTCAGAGCCCATTCGGGCTCGAGGAATAATTTTTAAATAGACACGGTTCATTCATTTTGTTTGTTAGTGTCCTCTAAGACTCACTATTACTGAGGAATTTTGATATATCGTTTAAGTGGCCTTCTCAAACGGAAGGGAAAAGACAGCAATTGGTGTGGATAAAACATTCCTGTATCTAGCTGTAAGTTGTAACTGTTTACCAGTAGGATGCCTACACACAATATACAATGTTTCATTTCCACAATTGGTTTAATTTGGTTCCATTAAATCTGATAAGAATTGGAAAACATTTTAGGAGGAGTCAGACACGCGGGACACGCGGAAAGTTACTAACAAGGAGAAGGAGTAAGGAAAAAATTCCAAAGCCTGAGAGGTAGTGCGTTGAATACTGAACACATTTAAATAATAACAAAACAAAAACAAGCAAATAACTAGTAAATGATTTTTTAAAAATACCTACTCCTTGGATTGATGCTTCTGTCAAAGACATACCAAACGAGAAAAGCTCGAGCCTTGGTGGCGTAGCCTATTACCCTTTCGTAAACGGCACTTAACCATTTTTAACGGTCGATCCAACCATTACTAACCAAGCCTTAGTCATGATAGATGTAATACATTTCCTGGATTAATTTACAAAAGGCAAATAATACGTCTTCGTCGAATAGTGTTAAAAAGAACGTCGTTGGAGCCCAAGTTTAATTTTCGTTAAAATTTATGGAAAGGGCTAGGGTCACCTGTTATTGATGTAACAGTTAAGAAAGACAGTTTGTCGGTGTATGAACTTAATTTTTTTCGTAATTTTGGCTGGTCGGCGAATTGGGGTGGCGTGCAATAAGCTGGGCAAAATTTGGAGAACTCAGAACGGCAATCATAGACCAAAGTGACTGGCGAGGCCGGAGAAACCATGCTGTTCGAGCGAGCGCTTGACCAAACTTAAAACTAACTAATTAACTTGCCTTTTCGAAATGGAGGTTAAGACTCAAAATATTAGGAAGCTCGTCAACGTTTTTGAGAAGCGTAAGTCAACGGGAAGTACTGTGGCCAACTTGTAACGTACCTCAATCAGACCTTGTGTTTATATTAATTAGTTTCTAATTACTTACAGAGGAAATGAAAAGCTGCCTTGGACTTTCTCAGAATGGTTTCACTTCTAATGGCGTCTATCACATCATCCCAGATGGTTGTAAGCCAATACAAGTGCTTTGTGACATGAGCACAGACGGTGGAGGTTGGACCGTGTTTCAGAGACGTTTAGACGGCTCGGTGGATTTTCAGCTCGACTGGAAATCCTACAAAAATGGGTTTGGTGATCTGAGCGGTGAATTCTGGCTTGGAAACGACAATCTTCACTGTTTGACAGCCACCCATGATGTCATGCTTAGAATTGACCTGGAGGACTTCGATGGCAAAATTTCGTATGCTGAATATTCCACTTTTAAGATCGCTGACGGGGTGGATAAATACCGTATTGCGGTTGGAGGCTACAATGGCACAGCTGGTGACTCCATGACAGATAGCGTTAAGTTTCTACCCGCAAAGTAAGTATTGATTTTAGGCTGGTGCGACTTACCACAGCACACTCTTGTTCTTGTCGTTCTTCTCCTTCTTCTCCTTAATCTCCTTCTATTCTTTCTTCTTTTTATTGTTATTTTATCATAATTTTTTAAATAAATCGTTATTGTACTTTCTGCCACACGCACAACAGTTACATATTTTACAGTAACCAGTAACTAAAATAAAAATAAAAGGCTAAACAGGAAGCTACAACTGTACAGAACAGTCCAGTACGTAAAAACTGACAACTCCACAAAAAAGAAGCAAATTTAAGTAGGCGAGATTGTCACCGAAAAAGGTGCTGTCAAGTAGGATAATTTTATGGCATTTATCAATTTTCCATTGAGCTAACATTTTTGTTGCTGGATCAGAGGAAGTGAGGTGTTTTCTTAACGTTTTGCATTGTTGATAATATTTCTAAGTTTGCAAAATTGGGATCCAAAACTTCCGTTTTGCATTGACCAGTACGTTTGAAGGAGGTTTGCAGTCTTTGAAGACCAACTGCAAGCTGGAAAGGTTGAGGTTTAACTTGTGTTTATCATTAAACCATCCGGATCATTTCTTGCGAAAGAGAGAGGCCACCAAAGGACTCCACAAAAGCGTGTTGTATAGAATCACGTGATCTGCAGTAAATGTGACTCGTCGTCAACCGAAGTTTTAAATCTCTGCAGCTCCTTGTTTGGTTACTAATATCCGATGTAGTAGTTTAAAGGAAAATTTTCTCAGTTTGTTGTCATTAGATAGCCGCGGTATATTTTTAAACAGATCTTTCCACATACTCTTGATGTCAACTAGTGTTTTGCTTTCACCACGTGTTTACGGCTGTGGGTGCTATATTTGTCTTTTTTCCTTTATTTTGAAAAACAAGACAATAATCCTTAGTTATACATCGTATTTTTGAAAGCAAGAATGTCTTCTTCTTCTTTATTTTCCCTTTTAACTACCAGTTCAATTTTAACGGAAACGTCTTTATCCTACACTTTGACTGGGTTCGCCCCATGTATAAATCTGTTCGCCTCATGCATAAGTCTGTTCCCCCCCCATGCATGGGTCTGGTCGCTCAATGTATTGATCTGTTTGCCCCATATAACAGAATCCAAGACAGCCTTGGGTTCTGGATTGCACACTTTGCATTCCGGATTCCAGGTGCCGGATTCTAGCCTTGGTAAGTGGAACTGGGTGTCAGTCGTTAGTGGGATTCTGGATTTCTTTGTCTGGATTCTGGATTCCAAAGCCCAGGATTCCAGATTCCACCAGTAAAAAATCCCGGATCTCTTGGATTCAGGCCCTTAGATGGGGCGAGACTGTAGAACATTTGTGATGTTATTTTATTGTTGGGCGCGGGAATTATACTTTTTCAAGTACGTCTGTATCGCAGACTATAAAAACACTCGTCCGCACTACTTTCTTCCCTGAAAGGAATCACATCATCTTCCGCTGAGAGGATGAGCTACAAATTCTTGGTTCGGTAATGCGCGTTTGTCCAAATCAAGACCTTAATTCAAACCATTGTTCACATCTCTTCTCAAAACTACGTTCTGCAATCAGGAATCCAATCAGTTTAGCACAAATAACAGTGTACTTAAGTTGCCCTACGCTCTCTTTTGTGATGTATTTCATCTGACACACACACGACGTATCTCCTTAAATGAGCCTAATAATACATTTGTTAACATGATATATTTCGATTATCTGTCTACCTTTCATTTAATAAGTACGTTAACACACTCCAGCGGTTCCTTTTGAGATCTAAACCCCGGGAAAATCTCAGTGTACGCGTGTTCTGAACAAAAAGTCTCAAAAACTATGTCCTTTGGTCAGACTTTGGAAAGCACAGTTTTGCCATAAGTTGTACAAAAGCAAGGAAATCGAATTATTTAAACCCTCATGGCGAGGAAGCCCAAGAGAAACCACCGGGCTTAAGGAATGGGTTCCCTCAGTTAAATAATAAGAACAAAATATTATCATAATTACACATGGAAAAATCGACACAGATCTATAAAGTATACAGGGAAGTGTACTCCCGGGGAGATGCACTATCGATGGATGCGCCGATAACGACTGTTCTCTATTTCTTAACAGCAACATGCAATTCACAACCAAAGACGCTGATAATGACGGATCCAGCGTAAACTGCGCGGAGACACAAAAAGGAGGATGGTGGTATAACGCCTGCAGTTGGGCAAATCCTAATGGCGTATATTACAGTGGAAAATACAGCAACCAAGACGCCGATGGAATAAAATGGGTCACACTAAGAGGACATAAGTACTCATTCAAACGTATTGAGATGAAAGTAAAACCCAAAGTGTAAACTGACACCAGTGTACAGTCTTACGTGTCGATGTTGTAACAATTCAGATATTGATAGATTATCCACGTTCAGCAGAATGTCCCATAACACTGATTTTACACTTTTTCTAATGGTTTACCCGATTTTCGACACCCTCGTAGCGACCGGACATGATTTTGAGCAAAATGATATATGATTTCAATAAAAAGTGCTGAAAACAGTAGCGATCTAGATAACATATAAGAATAAGAATATTCTTCACGTCTATTGTAAACCTTATCTAGTTCTCTATGGAGAAGAAAATTAGGCGATGACGCCATAAAAACTAAATTGGAGAAAATATGGGATAGTTTAGCATATCCAGAAAGAACCAGATGAAAATGTTCACTTGCCAATAATGAGCATGCTAGCGCAAATTGACTGGGAAATACGCCACCTCCACATTTCCCATAATGCACCTTATTTACCCCCAAAAAATTTTCTTTAAAGGGACAGGCTCACGGTTCAGCGCATGCTCATTAATTAAATTACTTTTTATCCAGTTTATTATTTATTCTATCGGTTAATAATCCCACTCACACATATCTCAGCGATCTCAGAGTGTATTTCAAAGTAGAAGTGTATTTCAGAGTAACCTGAAGAAGGATGGAGGAGTACTAAAATCGCAGAATATATACAACAACAACAACAACGAGCTTTATATGGCGTTCCGTTGCGGACAAAATTATACCGATAGTAAAAACATGTTGAAAACCGTCACGTCGACAATTCAAACCGTCGCGGGCTGGCAGGGTCAAATTGTTCAACCGTCAATGGACAATTGGAGCATTTAGCCTACTGGGCACAGTAACTGATTTTTCACTTCTCTTATTGCACTCCGGAGTCGCGGAAGTCAAGCATCGCGTGTGATAATGACAAAACATGTCGCGTTGTTAATGTTTTGATCTCTACCCTTCTTTTTAAAAAGCGTTTGACAATGGTTTTTTATGTATGATTTAGAAAAAAATTTTGCAATAAGAATTACTACGGCTGTAAACAGTTGTTAGCTATTTTCCCTCCCTTTTTCAACAAGTGGCAGTGGGTAGCAAGTTTGGGGACAGGATCAAAACATTAACAACGCGACATGTTTTGATATTACATGCCACTATCACACGCGATGCTTGACTTCCGCGACCCCGGAGTGCAATGTCAGAAGTAAAAAATCAGTTACTGTGCCCAGTAGGCTAAATGCTCCAATTGTCCATTGACGGTTGAACAATTTGACCCTGCCAGCCCGCGACGGTTTGAATTGTCGACGTGACGGTTGGAGTCCGTTGCGGGTCTGCTCTCGACTCGCCTCACCTCAGCCGTGTATTGCTCACTTCGTTGGCGATTTAGGACCTTCGAAATGGGAATTTTGGCGATGTGAATGATGGAAAATGTGCGTTATTTATCAGGACATCTGTTTCTGGCGGAATTGTCTCCATGTCGCAAATGTCACGGAATTTATCTCCGCCGAGAGCGGAGCCGGTCAAGAGAGGTTTGCCAACCTTCTCTTCTCTTGTCTCTACTGTCATCTGGGTGAAAAACTGTCGCTCAAAAAAAGGCCTTAAACAGTGCCTAGGAGGTCTGAAATGCAGTCAGAATACAAAGAAAAACAAGAAGACGCTAAAGGTAAGCTTCAAAGCGATATTCAATGTACATTTTGCTAATTTAGTGAGCAAAGAATATTTCTCCATACAACGTCTTATAATTTTCTTGCTGTATGAATAATTAATTAGCTAAGTAGGATAATGTTGTTCAGGGCTCTCATAGTGAGCTTGGGCTACCTGTGGTTGAGAAAGAGAGAACGCTCACCAGTTGTGTTGTCTATCGATGTCTTCACTTAACCGATACGAGTAGCCTGCGAAAACATCCGTTTCTCCTCGCTCTTCGTCGCTGGAGCCGTTTCGCGCGGAATTCAGGTTCTTGTAATTCCACTCGGATATCATTTCATTAGTTCCTCTTAGCTTCCTCTTGTTGTAGAGTCGGTAAAAAACACTAAAACCAACACTACAGCAATTTAATATTAATTGTTGCAACGAACAGATCACTTTTTTCGATAAAAAGGCATAATCATGTTACCGTTTCTGATGAAATTGGTCAACTGAAATCGCAGTGTCAGACAGTATACACTGAAGCAATAACTCGAACCCCCGCTTACTCGAACTGTTTTTCCTTAACTTCAGAATTCGAGTTACCGTGCCCAAGCGGACAAAGGAATCAAGGGAATTTCCTCTTTTGTTAACACACGGTCTCACTACGGTATAGATGTCAGGACTGTTACCCCCTTTCTGTTGGACAATCACACCCGAAGATTATTGGACTTACTGTTATGGTTGGTTTGTAAATTTTTGTTAGAGTGTAGAACTCAGGTATTCTAGGTTGATTGGGTGTTTGACATTTGCCATTTTCTCGTCATTTCATCATTATGTTTTTCACGGTGTAGATCCGTAATCAATTATGCGCTTGACCTTGCTGTGCGCTTCTTTCAACATTGGTTCAACGACAGGTTTGTAGTTATGTTCGTCGTCGATTTGTATTTGACCTTCTCTTATTTTGTCAGTTTTGTTCGTGTCTACTGTAGTGATTCCCTTGTCCGCTTGATGTCGACGCCGCACGTCAGTGTTTTGCTTTAATTCTTTGTAACGCTTGTCGGTCCTTGCGTGACAGGTTATGTTTTGGCTTTGTTGTTTGTATCTCTGCCAGTTGAGATTTAACCTCTCTCGAGGGCTTCTAATGGTTGAACCGGTGGGTTCCAGTCCGATTTAACGTAGAAAGGGAGAACTCCCCTATTTCTAAACAACCGTAAGTCTCACAATATCTTGACGGCAGAGTTGCAAGTGTCCTTGTACTCGTCAAGGCGCCGAAATAAGAATTCTGAACTGTCATTTTAATGAAGCTGAACTAAGCTGCCTTTCTAAGTCCTCGATAAGTCTACCAAGGGAGAAGAAAAAATCTGCAATATTTGGTAGCCATCAAACCACTACTTTGGATCGAAGCCTCGTATCGGTGAAGTGAAGACATCGATAGAGAACACAACTGGTCAGCGTTCTCTCTTTCTCGACTCGAGTATTTTTTTTTTCAACTCGACTCGCATTTTTTTCTACTCAAATTTCAAAATTTCGACTCGTGTTTTTTTTTTCGTTCGTGAACATATATTTTGCAAATCTCGACTCATATTTTTTATTGCATTCGATGTATTTTACAAGTTTCGACTTAAGTATTATGTTTTCAACATGTTTTTACTATCGGTATAATTTTGTCCGCAACGGAACGCCATAGCTTTATTTGCATGACCATACAAACATACAGTATTGCAAAAGCTATGTTTAGGAATCAAAATTACAACATACCTTATTATAGGAAATTAACGCTCCATGAAATTAAGGTATTGGAAATCAACGCGACTTAAATTAACGCGAATTTAATGGAAAACGACTTTCGAATAAAGAAAATTAACGCGAAAGAGGAGGTAGAATTTCATAATAAGGGAAATTAACGCGATTAATTAAGCGAAATCAAAGGAGAAGATATTGACATCACTTCTGACAGCGACAACGATGAAGATGAACTCGAAGTATTGTAAACATTCGCCTTAGCTTTTGTGAAAGATGAAAAATAAAGGGTAAATGGAAAGAAAGAAAGCTTGTAGTTAATGTTTTTTATGTGTCAAGAATGTCTGGACAGGTTCCAAAATTGGGGTTAAAATACTGGAAATTAAGAGCGCGGAAATTAACGCTCAACAAAATTAATGCAACTTAAATTAACGCGAATTTTAACGATTCGCCTTAATTTCATGGAGCGTTAATTTCCTACAATAAGGTATACGTATACTTCTCTTGTCAATTGCTTCAAATTTCTTTCAAGAATGTTTCGTCGCTGTAAAAATTTAAGACACGCAGGACGTTACACTTGAATGATATTTTTTCTTTAGTTTTAATTCATGTACAGTATTTATTTGAGAAGTAAAATTTCGCTTTTAGTCTGACTCTTTGTAATAATGATAAAATTGACACGATGAGCCCAAGCCATTTCTATTTTCTTTCGGGATCATTTTCGGTCGCCTTTGGAGATCACTTGCGGTCGAGGATCATTCGCGGTCCATTTTGGGGATCATTTGCGGTCTCGGGATCATTGGTGGTTGAGGATCATTCCGGTACTGTACAGCTGCTCCCAAAGGAAAACAAGTAAGATCATTAACATACAGTCATCCCAACTGTTAAGCCAAAACTTAAGGGGAGATCCCCACAAACTATGAAACAAATTATTATACATGAATAAAAACGGCTTAATGTTAACACGTCTTTACTAGGAAATCGAACTGTGAATCAATACATTACGACCAATGTTAGCACATTTTTGACAGCGATACCAGATTATTTGCATTTCTCCCAATTTAGAAAAACTTTTACAAGTTATTTCAGCTGTGTATCTCTAAAAGTGCCTGAGGCAAGCCAGCATGAGACTAAAAGTTGAAAACAATGCGTTCAGAATATTACTCGCTTTCGGCTTTCCAAAGGTAAAATATAAAGGAACTAATTTTTTATGGTACATGAAACAGCTCTATATGAGAATCATGTGAAATAATTAAGCAATTCATAGAACCACCTGCTTAAAAGCAGAGCTCTCAAAGGAAAACAAGTAAGATCGTTAACATACAGTCATCCCAACTGTTAAGCCAAAACTGGAGGGGAGCATGATCCCCACAAACTATGAAACAAATTATTTCACATTAATAGGTGTCTTTACTAGACAATCGAACTGTGAATCAATACATCCGGTTTCTACGAATGTCAGCACATTTTTGACACCGATACCAGATATGATTTGCATTTCTCCCAATTTAGAAAAGCTTTTAAGAGTAATTTTAATCATTATGATAGCTTATGATAGTTGTACGGTCACCATTGAAACACTAGGTTTAAAGGAAAAAGTAGTCTGCTAAAAAAATCGGTTGGATGCGAAAAAACTCTCTATTTTTGGGATTAATTCAAACTTGAATGCAATGCATTTACAGAAGTTAAAAGGGATGCAAGTTTCTAAATTAGTTAGTGAAGGGGATACCATTTGTAATTAGAGGGTATACGAAAGGAGTACCGTTCCTGTCAAAATTGGTATATATGAAGGGGTAAGGGGTTGGACCTCGAAAAAAACTATGTTGAGTACCCCCTCGCGAAAAATACAGTCTTACTAGTCTAGTCATCATAACATGATTTTTCCCGAAATTAAGAAAGATTTTTTACGACGTTTTAAAGCTTAATAAGGCGAGTAAGTTATTTAGATCAGCACTGCTATGTAGCTTGTTTTGAAACGAAAGCGGAAGTTGACGGTGTTAGTAATTTAACATTAATTTTTTTGGGTATCCAACATTACAGTAAATTAGGTGTCTGTCTGTGTTGAATGGGTAGAAATAGTTCAAATTTATTCAAATTGCGTTGGAATTATAAATACTTTGCCCTGAAGGGCTATAAAGTGAATTGAACTATCCAGCAGAAGCAGAACAGCTGAAACACCGTGAAGCTGACCTGTCCGGCAAAATGCTTTTGCTCCCTCTAATCGTTTTTTCCGTGATCAATGCATACTGCACAAGCCGTATTTCAACGCCAGACTTTCAAGCTGTAAACTTTGCTCAGGCAAAAGAAAGACGAAAACTAAACGGAAGCGTTATAAAGCAAGTTGATGTGATGTCAGAAGATGACTGCAGCTTTCAATGCGTCACGGATGAACAATGCCTCTCTTACAACTTTGGGAACACAAAGAACAGATCGGGGACATTCGTTTGTGAGCTGAGCGATTCCGACCGATTTCTTGACGTCGGTAATTTCACAGAAGATGACAATTTTAAGTATAGAGGAGTGCAGGTAACATTATCGCTATTTTTTATTTAAATTCAAACGTGTTATTTTCTCTCAACCAGAAAAATCCCGCATACTAGTATACTTAACATCGCGCCAAATAAAGAAAGGCTAGCTATTTAGCTATATCAAAAAATGTCTGAAAACATCAGTCAGGGGTAGTGAGAACTCGAACTTAATTTTTCTGTGCTGCTTTAACTGACGAGTACAGTGGAAGCCCTTTGCGGAAAAAAAACTGCTTAAATAGAATACTAGAGTCGCTTTATTTTTATCAATGGTGTGATTAAGATGAGAAGGATTCAGATTTCTGTTTGAGAGAGTTTCCTTAGATTTGGGGCGATTTCACGCTAGAGATAAAACAACACAATCCGGATAATCCAGAGGGATGGAAGAATGCATGATTGTTCGTCCAAAGTGAAAACCGTTATGTGTTCACATTGAGACCGGAATTTCAGATTTCAGTCAAAATATCTTGCATGGAAAAGGGCGTTCACCGTTCGAATTGGAGCTTTTTTTTCATCTAACGCTTAGCTGTCAATATACTATTAAGCGTTGCATCCATGAGCATGTTTTTTTTTTTCTTTGGACAAATCAACGTTAAGGTTTCAGACATTATTATATATATTATGAAGATTATATGAAAAGATTTTAAAAAATTCGTTCGAGTCGTTTCAGAGATATACAAAAAAGCGCTAAAAGTCCAAATTTTGAATGAAGTTGCACTTAAACAGGTGGTGAGAAAACGGGTTAGTTTTTAAGATCGAAAATACACCCAAATTTCCTAACATCGAAATTTGATATTAAGCAACATTCTGACGCTACTTAAGAATAATTTGAGTCATTTATAACGTTTTATTAATAATCTATCACGGCTATTGAAAATTTAAGGTTTGAAATATATTTTTGTTTTAGTCGAATTCAAACATACGGATTTTGTTTACTTCTTACGGAGATTAGCTTATTATAGGAAATTAACGCTCCATGAAATTAAGGTATTGGAAATTAACGCGACTTAAATTAACGCGAATTTAGTGGGAAACGACTTTCGAATAAAGAAAATTAACGCGAAGGAGGAGGTAGAATTTCATAATAAAAGAAATAAACGCGATTAATTACGCGAAATCGAAGGAGAAGATACTGACATCACTTCTGACAGCGACAACAATGAACTCGAAATATTGTAAACATTCGCCTTAGCTTTTGTGAAAGATGAAAAAATAAAGAGTAAATGGAAAGAAAGAAAGCTTGTAGTTAACGTTTTTTAGGTGTGAAGAATGTCTGGACAGGTTCCAATATGGGGTTAAAATACTGGAAATTAAGAGCGCGGAAATTAACGCTGCACTTAATTAACGCTCAACAAAATTAACGCGACTTAAATTAACGCGAATTTGAACGATTCGCGTTAATTTCATGGAGCGTTAATTTCCTATAATAAGGTATTTGCTTAACACCAAACTTTAAGTTCCTAGTGTTGGATTTTCAGTAGCTGGTCTAGATCGCGCAAAATTAAATTGTGACAAATTTCAACCTATAGCCAATCCTTGGTGAAAATTTTATAACGATCAGACAAGGATAAAATCACTTTTAAAGCGATTGAAAAATATCGGTATGGCCTTTGAAAAACTATATCGAAACACCTTAATACGATAATTTTTAAAGCTATAAAGCTTGTGGGGTCGTGTGTCTAAGAATCAAAGTAACCTAATATACATCAAAACATATATGGACACAGTGATATAAAATTCTGTTGTCTGCATCTTATAGCAGATGCAGACGTATATTCAAATTTGAAATCTATGAAATAATCTTCAGCGCTGACACGCTTCCTGAGCTGATTAAAATTCAGGGTCGCAGATCTGCGAAGATGTTTCCTTGTCATTCGGTGGTTAACAAAGTTCTATAACGATGCACCTCTATATGTTTCTGTCTCTCTCCTTCCTCTCATCTTTGCCTCCTCTTGAGAGACCTCTGCTAGCAGGGAACTCTATAGCAGAATCATGTGAAATAAAGCAATTCATAGAACCACCTGCTTGCGGGGTATACACGGCCGACGTCATTCTCCAAACTATTAACAAAGACATTAAATTAAACAAACTTAAAAGCAGAGCTCCCAAAGGAAAACAAGTAAGATCACTACCATACAGTCATCCCAACTGTTAAGCCAAAACTTAAGGGGAGGTCCCCACAAACTAGGAAACAAATTATTTCACATTAATAAAAACCATGTTAACGCGTCTTTACTAGACAATACATCCGGACGAATGTCAGCACATTTTTGACACTGGCCCATACCAGATGATTTGCGTTTTTCCGAATTTAGAAAAACTTTTACAAGTAATTTCAATCATAGGTATGTATCTAAAAGTGCCTGAAGCAAGCCACCATGAGACTAAAAGTTGAAAACAATGCGTTCAGAATGTTACTTGCTTTCGGCTTTCCAAATGTAAAATATGAAGGAACTAATTTTTTTATGATCCTTAAAAGCAAATCGCACTACCAAATTCATTGCATTTTGAAAAAGTTTATGCAGAAAAATGAGAAGAATAGTCTTGTTGTTCTCAGGTCAAGTAACTTTAAGTTTCGTAGGCGTCAGCAATGTTCTGGTCAAGGCCTGGAGAAACATTTTCTCATTGTTAAAACATTTCCGATCTAAAATCTACAATATATTTGAAAACGTGCATCCCCTCAAAAGTTAAAACGTTTTCAAATGTGAAATTTCCGCCAATTTGTTACTAATTCACTCAGACGTACAAGGAGGGGAGTGGATGCCACCTCCGCAAGGGGAGGGGGGAGGGGAAGCCACCTCCGCTGAGGTTTTTTCTAAGTTTTATCCTAAGTTTAAGTTTTATCATCAGCATGCCTGACGTTTTCAGCAGCTGTTCGTTCATCCCTTGCGCACATTTTTAGACAAGTTTAGTGATGGTCGGTTGCTATGGTTACGAGATATGACGTCATAAGAAGCAGGTGGCCAAGCCATTTTCGAGTGCAAATACATGTTTTTCTTCAACTCTTTCGATAATAAAAGTAAATCTTGCGGGTAAAATCATGAGAATGCTTATTTATATGTTATTTTTCATGTAAAGCACAAAAAAAATACCATTTCCCGCAGTTTTAACCTGATTTCTAATTCTTGGTAAACAGACGGTTAACAGGCATTTCCTATGAGATAAGGCCTTTATATATCAGTAGTGTCTGTTCTATATTAAATATACTATTTACCCAACTTCAAGTAAGTAACACTCGCGATCAGCTTACTCTTTTCCCTTTATTCGTTAAGGCTTAACGTCTTCACAGCTTCAACGGTAAAAAATAGCTTTCGCTTTTTGGCGTACGGCGTCAAATAAGGTTCAAAGTTTGAAGTTTAGTATACTCAACATGTTGTTAACTTGCCCAAGTGTAAACGCGGATAAATTCTTAAGTTTAATTAAAACCCTTGAAGTCTTACTGTACAATCAATTAAAAATATTTTATGATGAAGTATACTATTTTCAGTAGTATATCGTGTGATAAAAATTGTTATTTTACAAGCACGTACTTACGCGTGTTTCGCCCGAAATAAATCAAATGAGAAAAATTACGCGTGAAGTATGACGGATAACAATTCCGCACTTTTCTTTGATAACTTTAAGAGCGGTTAAGTTAAGCGTAGCAAAGCAAGTGTTTTATGCTATGTTTCAGATTTATTCCTTAAACCCATTTAATGTGAATTACATAGCAAGGCGGAAATTTCCCTGACGCAGGGCACCTCCGTTTCTATGAAAAAATCTTACTGCAGTCTGGTGTTATGTAATTACTTCTGTCGCTCTCGTAATCCTGCGTCTTTCAGAAATGTGATTTCTAATTATAGTAAGCTTCGCTGTTCTCGGCCCAAAAGCCCGAGCTTATAAGTTTTTTCGAGACATATCTCGGGAGGAGGTAGGGGGTAGGGCGATTAGGCGACCAGCCGCGAAAGTCCTGTTGCATAACTTGTAGGCTCATTTTGTTAACCCTTTTCAGCCCCTTCTCACCAAAAAGCGGAATAACTTCGTAACCGTTCAATCTATGACCACAAAACTTTTTTCCTAAAAAGTATCTGGGAACACTTTTAAAACGTCGTGACGTGTGTGTCAATATTGACGTTACCATGGCAACCAAGTTTTAACAGCCATGTTTTTTAACCTTTGTATCTTTTAGTTTCATAAAAAAAAGTTTATTCCTGTTTTTACTTGTTAAATTGTTATTTTACAGTTAAATTAGCATCATTTTATCAAATTTTTTATAACTGTTATTGTAATCCAGGATTTTAAGTGACTCGTTTGAGAAAAAAAAATCACTTTTGAAATGACCAAATGGCAGATGCTAAGGTCAATTGTCAGCAGTATTCATATATTTTTCTTGCATGTTTTACCTTTAAAGCATCCTTTTATATACAGATCAAATTTTCTGTTACGATTACCTCGATTTATACAAGTTTTAAGTAAAATGGAATACATTTAATTAATTCAAAATTTGAGATCCAAGATAGTGGATGGTTCCAGTACCTTCTTTAATAAGAAATGACGTCTTCATGACGTCACTGCTATTGTTAAAGATTATAAATGTGTTAGCTCTCTTCTTAATTTCTATCAGATATATTTTAGTGTTTTTTTGTTTTATATATGGTTACTTTATAGGTAGAAGAAAAGACAAAATTTGGTTTCTGGCAATAAAATTCAATAATGGGTCGTCGTAATTCTTTTTGTTGGCTGTTGTTGTTGTTGTTGTTGCTGTTGTTGTTTACCTTGTCAAGGAAAAACTTGAACGGTGGCTTAATTGTGTCAAAATCGTTTGAAAATTTGCGTATTTAATATGTTTTTCATTCATTACAGAGTGTCTGCGAGTCGAGCAAATTGAACCCGTGCGGTGAAAAAGGTATCTGCATTCCAGACTACTCCAGGGACAGTTTTAGATGTAAATGTGACACTGATTACGAAGGAATACCGTGTGGTAAGTGTCGAAAAAAAAATGCGGATAGTTTGCTGCGATTTTACAAATATTGTCCCAGTCGGGACTATCTTCAAAGGCGCCGCCGGCAAAATTTGCTCCGGGTAAAAACTGGACAAAATCGACTAAATAAACAAAAATGCGTGTTTCTTGTCTATCAGTGCAAAGCCATTATTCTTTTCTTTCACAAATGCAAGTGTTGTCAGATGTAACGGCCTGATAAGAGTAAATAGTTTCCAGTGCGGATAACGTTTTTCAAAACAAAAACTGTCACCATACAATCTTTGGTTTAGATGTTTCAAAGACAATTCCGATTTTGCCTGCAAGTGCGGAAAGGCCCATTGACGTAACCGTGATTACAGCCGTCTTTTTCAAAATTTGAAATAGGTTTTATTTCTATTTTTACTAATTGAGTTATTATATTACATGTAATTTAGCATTATTTTATGAAAGTTATAAAAACTATTAATGAAATCCGGGCATTTCAGAAATTAATTTGTGAAAAAAGAAAACATGAGTTTAGAATGATTAAACGGCAGATGCTGAGTTAAATTTTCAATACTATTCATCTCTCTCGGAATTTCATATTTTTGCAGACTTTTTGTTGTTGTTGTTGTTGTTGTTTTGTTTTTTTTTTGCTTCCTAAGTATCCTTTTTATATTGAGATAAAGTTCTCAATTATTAAAATACCTCGATTTAAATCGGTTTTAAGTAAAATGGAATACATTCAAACATTTCAAACTGGTGGATCCAAGATGGCGGAGGGTCACAGTTCCTTTTTTAGTAATAAATGAAGCCATCATGACATCACTGGTAGTGTTAAAGATTCTTTATGTGTTAGCCATCTTCTTGATTTTATCAGACACCTTATTGTTTAAGTATTTTTCGATTTATGTCTACTTTGGAGGAGGCTTAGATTTTGCCAAAAATTCACCAATATGACGTCATAATAACGTCAGACTACGACATTGTGTCAATCAAGTTATGCCTAGAAGTTGGAAATGATATGTACATCGTTCTGGAGACCGTAGCATGAACGATTTTTGCAGCTATGAAGAGGGCCCTAATTGAGAAAATCCTGATGACTGTTAAATCCTTGGTACATGAAATGTATCCTGCAACTTATAGCAGGCTAAAAGTCACAAAACTAGAATGCAATAAAGAAGCACTTTAGGCAGTCTTAATACTGACGTCGTCGTTTCCATTTTAGCTCATGTGTGAGTTAAACCGTGGATGGCTTCACCGGCATGTACAAATTATTTCAAAAGTTGAAAGAGCTAGTTATCTTGAACAATTTGTGCAATTTTCAGCCTTTTTGCAAACACTATCTAAGAAAATAGTGGCGATTAAAAACTGCGAAATGGCTAGGTGGCAAAACGTTATAAATCATACAATTTTTTGTAAAATATCGATTCCTTAAAACCAAGAGAGGATAAAGGGGACAGAGAAGGTATCCCCCATACACACCCTATTCCATAGTTAATTCGTCTCGAGTTATTTTCAAGACCACAGATCCCAAGCGGGATAAGACAACAGCCAATCACATAGCGCGAATGTGTTCCGCGTTGATGACCCAAGATCAGAGCCACGCGTCCTTTACGAATTGACGCAGAACAAAATGGCGGAAGACGCAGAGAGCGATATTGCTATTCGTTTTGTCGACGAAAACTACTACAGAGAGATTTCTGCTAAAGCTGTGTCAGCGAAACGGAAAATAAAAAAGAATCGCCCTTCCTCTCTTGTATAGAGCTATCAGTACAGCAGGGAAATCCCTAACACACTGAATATTCTCTCAGGATCATTTACAATTTACAGCAATTTACAGTTTGAAGAGAGCAAGGAGCAAGGAGCATGAAACTCTGAGTAGCAATAAATGTCTTCGACCAAATAATCCAACTCTGCAAATCTATATATATATATATATATATATATATATATATATATATATATTTATCAGGCTCAAACTTTCAGAGATTTATAACATTGCCATTTTTTCAATCTTGAGAGATTTATGTTGATACTTTGATCAGAGAATGAGCATAATGCTGATAAGGCAAGAATGTAAACGAAGGTTAATCAATAGACAAAGCCTTCAAATCCCTACTCTTTCAAACAAGGCGTTCGAATTAACAGCATCATTTTTTTTATTTTTGACACTGTTTCTATCGAGGAAATTTCCCGGAAGAACTTGGAAGCCCAGATAATTGACGTCCCTCTTGTTGACCTTTGAGGCTCTCACGAAACTGGAGCTTTTATATATCAGTCTCTGCGATGGCTAACCTCAGTTTTTTTGTATTGAATATCCTTCAGAACCAATAATGAAAAGCTGTTCTCAACTTGCTCAAAATGGCTTCACATCGAATGGGTTGCATTACATTTTTCCAGATGGTGGCAACCCAATAGAAGTTCTCTGTGATATGACAACAGACGGTGGAGGCTGGACCGTTATTCAGAGACGTTTCGACGACGCAGTTGATTTTTATCTCGGATGGGAGTCATACGCAAATGGGTTTGGAGATCTAAACGGTGAGTTCTGGCTTGGAAACGATAATATACACCGTTTGACAGCCTCAAGTGATATCATGCTTAGAGTTGACCTGGAGGACTTTGATGGAAACATAACATACGCTGAGTATACGACTTTTCAAGTGGCTGACGAGGCAGATAAATACAGGATTACGATTGGAGGATACAGTGGTACGGCTGGCGACTCGATGATAAGTAGCGACACTGGGAAGTCCCTGAGGTAAACAAATAATTGGCTGGCATTTCATAAGTATAACGGGAAAAACTCTAATTTCATAATTAGAGGCCAATTCTATAATAAAAAATCTTTTATGTCTTTTATAATGTGCTTGTTATTCCACTGATGAAGCGGAAAAATACCCCATTATGATTTGAAGGTACAGTGGTATGCCTGGCAACTGGAGTGTTCTTATATGGTTATGTACGTAAATAGCTCTTCCTCTATAGTTTCTCCAGGGCGCACTTAAATTGGAGCCACACTCTGTTGAGTGACGCTCGTCATTGTTTTTGTTTTTGCTTATCAAAGATGGGTAAATAAATAAACAAATTACAAATGATTTTTATTATAAACTGCCGCAAGGTTAGCCTCGTTGGATGAGCGCCGGTTTGTAGAGGGGGTTCTCGGTTCCAACGCTGGCCGGACCACCAACCAGGCACTTAAAACAGCTGGTAAGGTCATGCTGGCTGTGATCTATGATCTAGTCTCAGTTCAGGTGATCGCGTCATTGGGCGGTGAAGTGAAACCGTTGGCATTGACTCCCCCATCCTTCCTTATCAGCTGGAAGGGAACATGAAAAAGCCCACGCTTCTGAAAAGGGTAACGGACTTAGATCTAGCATCGCCACCGCAGTTGTCCCTTTCATAATATAAACGGTCGTTGCCATTTTTAGGACACTTAGAAAATGTTTGACCTGTAAGTTATTGAGAGTGTTTCTATTAAAAAAGAAAGAAAATCGCAATCCAGGGTCGAACCCGAACCACGAACCCGGAGATTTTGAATCTTAATCTCTCTCCCTTACAACTACACTACCACACCGACCCGCCAAAATTCCGAAAAATTTAAGTACATAAATTAGCAAACTGTCTTTCTTAACTGTTACATCAATCACAGGTGATCCTAGCCCTTTCCATAACTTTTATCGTAAATTCAACTTGGGCTTCAAGGTCCTTCTTTCTAGGACTATTCAAAAACGCATTATTTTTCTTATTGTAGCTTAATCCAGGGAAGATATTTTATCTATCATGACTAAAGGCTTTGTTACCAATGGTGGCATAGACCGTTCCAAAGGGCAACGACCGTTTACGAAAGGGAAATAGGCGACGCCACCACAAGTTTCGAATCAATTTAGGTTTCTGGGAAACTGCCCACCTACCCCTCCCCTAAGCTAACATGAACACGTACTCCTCACTTAGGGCAAAATGGTGGACTAGGGGAGGGGTAGGTGGGCAGTTTCCCAGAAACCTAATGAAGTCTGAGGAACGAGCCCAGAAATTCCATACTGACGACTCGTCACAACTCAAATCTGGGTAGTGCTTTTGATTGGTTGAAGCAAATTTCCCACGCGGTACGATCAATCAGAAGCACTACCCAGATCTGGGTAGTGAGGGGTCAGGGTGGAATTTCTGCACTCGTTTTTCAGACGTAGTTTCACTGGGACACCAGTGTTGGCGTTGCGAAATGTCGGTACTTTTCTCAGGCGTAAATCAACGCAGACTAGAAAACCTATAAAAACCTATAGTGCGGTCAATCGTTTATAGGGTCCACGGGTCCCCAGCGATCGGTTATACACGTTTACCCTGCCAAATATTGGCGAATCTAGTAAGTCAAATCAGATCATTAATATGCATTTACATTTTTGAGATTTTATTCATAACCACACAAGAGATTCAGTCTTGTCGAGTCGTCAAGGCTGACGGTAGAAAACAAAACTAGCAACTGATTATAAGACTACAAGAAGATTATAAAGTTATATTTAAATTTTTGTCTCCACAGTGGCACGCAGTTTTCAACCAACGATTCCGACAATGATGCCTTGAAATGGACCCACTGTGCTCAAAGCAAGAAAGGGGCATGGTGGTACTCTGGCTGTAGCGCGTCAAACCTTAATGGGTGGTATCATAATGGTGGATATATACAGAGCGATATTGGAATGAAATGGGAGACATTTAGAGGACATTTTTATTCACTAAAACGTACTGAGATGAAAGTAAAACCCAAATCGTAAAATCTGGCAGAACGGGTAGGGGAAGGCCTTACGAATAACGACCAAGACGACACAATTTTTGAATAAATCATTTTACGATATTAAGTAAATAAACCCCTTCTGACGGCTGGTATATTTGAGGATGATTCCTATTAAAAGGATGCTTTAGATCGTTCAAATGAAACAATAACCGAGAAGTGATGCTTCGAGGGCAACTGTGGAGTCTTAAACGAGGGCATTCAACCTTCTACATTATATACAAATATGACGGAAAGCCGTTCATTCTATAAACCCCTCCCCCGTCTTCTCTTAAACTATACACTACAAGCTTTTTGACCAAAGGATCGGGTTAAGGAGAAAAGCCAGTGATGGCCACTGCGAGATTATGGATGATGTGGGCGATAAACTCGCATGAACTGGTATACTTCCATCCCACTAGCCAACACAATCGTAAAATTAATATATTGAAAACGATTGTCAAGGACTATCTCCTACGCTTAAGGCACACAACAGATCTGTCCAGATAACCAGCAGTGAGGTTCCAACACCACTATACACTACTATAACAATCATAATACATCAACACATCTCATTAAACTGGGTGGACAAGGAATTTGACACGATGGTCGGTTTCTAGGGCTTTTCCTCCAGCAACTACTTAAATTCAATTGTTTGCTCGCACAGGAGTAGTTTATATTCCAAATGAAACAAGACATTAGAACATCTTAATAGAGAAAAAATTTCTTTAAATTTTTACCATTGTAAAGGTATTTTTGACGTTTCTTGAAAGCATGACTTCATGTTTTAGTAACAACATGAAAAACAACATTAAACAACATAACAACATTAAAAATTTGAAAGGCAGTTGTCAAAACGTTACAGACATTTTTGCTACCCCGAAAGAATATTTATAGTGAAAACCCCATCTCAATCGGATGAAATGGCGTGAAGTTACCGCTAATTAAAGAAAATCAAAAATCCCGCCAAATGACCATAATTTTATAATCAAAATTAGGCGTATTTTAAACGCGAGATAAATGAATGTATTGGCACAGGAGCAAGGACAAAGTTGCATAAAATCAAAATTGTGTTTTTTTTAATTAGTGCATGTGGTGCTATGACGCCTTTCTCGTCACGAAATACGTCATTGTGACGTTTTAATGACGTATTTCGTGATGAAAAATGCGTCATAGTCCCACTTACCTTAAGTAAAAAAACTACCATTTTGATTTTATGCAACGTTGTCCTTTCTCCTGTCCCAATACATTCATTTTTCTCGCGTTTAAAATACCCCTTAGTTTGACCAAATATGGTCGTTTGGTGGGAAATTTGAATTTCTTTAATAAGCTGTAACTTTACGCCTTTTTATCCTATTAAGATGGGGTTTTCACCAGAAATCATAGAATTCTATGCTGAAAACTAATATAAAATTTTTACCACTTCTTTTCTGAATTTTTATTCTGGTGCCAAATTTGGACATTATTTATGACCTCACAATAGCAGTCACATGGGATGAAATAAAAACCAATTAGAAGGTAATTCATATTATCAACCTACTTCCCTACCAAGTTTCGTCACATTCGATGTATTCTACTTCTGTCTATGGCCTAAAACTCTCAGTTTTGAGCAGTATGGGAGGAAAAGCCCTAGCAACCGACAACCGTGTGACTTTTACAGGGTATATATAGAGGAGCTTCGCTTTTAGACTTAACTTTATCTATTTATTCAAGGCCTCCCTTTCCAGCGCCGAGTCCCGTTAATATCTTTCTTTTTCTTTCTTTTTTTTTTTTTTTTCTTTTCAAATGGACCTTGGAAAGCATAGGTTGTTATCTTCTGTTCAAGCTGGAGTTAAATTATTCTTTAGTAAGCACTTGACGTACTTATGCTGGCCAACATTATATCAAAGATCTTATATCTTATTCAGTATTAAAAAGGAAAAACAACTACGAAGGAGTTTTTGAAAACGAAATTCCTTCTCAAAGTTCTTAAAGACAGTTTCCTTTGAAGGGAATGTTGGAACTCGAATTGTATTGATGCAAAAACTTAACGCAATCTAAACAAAAATTCTGTCATCTTATTGCCGCTACACTCACCTTCAAACAACATCATCTGAGGATCATTAAAAATTTAAAAAACGAATTCCGTTCTCTTTCTACAATCATTGAGAACGTATCTTTTAGTTAATCTGCCCTTGTTTTAAACAAGTTCAACCTTATGCCAAGGTTTTAACACCTTTTCCTGCAATTCTTTTTAATATTACATAGTGAGATAGGGTTAAGGTCGACATCAGCGTTATACTGTCGCTAGCTCGCCTTAACAAAAACTATGAATGTATGTATGCAACGCTTGGAATAAAAACGATTGGTGTTGTCATTTCCCTCGCGTCACAGCTGTTTTGTAAAGCAAAAAATAAAATTTTTGGCGTCGTCAGTGACAAGAAGGCCTGTCGGGAAGGTATTTTTGTACTTCTAGTCACCCAACGCTACACGTAACAGAGCGAATGTTCCAATCAGAGTTAACTAAACAGTTATCTACATGTTATATGCTAAAGTTGACCTATTATGTTTGTGACATTCACGACATATTGAGGAGAAATTTATCAAACTAATCTTACGGTTATTATAGATTTCTCTGCCTGATTTCGGCCATTTCTGAGCGGTTGGTTCAAATTTTGCCCGATTTTAGACTATCAGTTGACCCCATATACACGGACGGGTGGTCACCCTCTCAGCTGGAAGAGTGCCCGTCTGATAAGCAGAGGTCGTGCGTTGAACCCCAGCCTGCGCGGATCACCGTAAAGTCCTTTTAAATTGCCATAAATCAGGTTGCCGGCCGGCAGCATGCTTAACCACGAATTGTGTTATCACAGGTTGTAGTCGTTGCTGTAATTGGCCGGAATCTCACATATTACTGCTGTATACATGGTTCATCACAACTTCAGACAAACAAATTTCAAGGACTTTTCAAGGATTTTTCAAGGACAAATTACATTCACTTTTCAAGGACTGACTAAGATTTTTAATTAATAAACGTTCTGAATTTAACCCCCTTTAATCACCCCTCTTGGCTAAAACAGGTCATAGAGTCATTTACGATTTTTACTTCTTCGGCCATCGTTGATCACATTATTTTATACTAGCTACTTTCCGCAACAAGACTGAGGTGCGGATATAGCACTTGAAATAAAGAACTAGAAATGAAATATTGTTCAAGCACAAAAATTTTTTTACGTTGCTCGCTGTGAGTTTTTAGTGCAGGTTCTTGCATCGAGGATCAGCCAAATTTTCCTCAGCAAAATAATCTAATTGTTACTGCCAAATATTTTCTGGTTTTTCGTATTTCCTTTCGAACCCTTTTTAGTTTCGTTTGCGTTATTATCTTATAGTATTTGTGGTTTTCGCCGCGGATGTACCTGCTTACGTATGATTAATAAACAAAGAAGTCTATTATCCTTTGTATTAGTTAGTATTGTCGAACGTGCTCAAGAAACTTTTTCAGTTCTAGTCAACGTGTCATAGTGTTAAGATCAAAGTAAGGCTTAACGTCAACGCTGTGAAATCCCTAAAGCGGACACAGAATTCTCGAAACCGCTTTGTATATCGTTTTCTTCGTTTACGCCGCCTGATCATCGCTTCTCTTCGCATCGCTTCTTTTCAGCATTGTTAACGTCTCATCGCTTCGCTTCAATAAACTTTGTTTACATCCTTATCGTCGTGAGCATCATTATTGTAGCGAAAGTTCTTAAAGCGCGTCAATAATTTTCTGTCTTAACGTGGGATTAAACGATCGTCCTGTGAGTAACGTTTTGCGCTCACACTAATTTTGCAGAAAATGAACGAGTCTGGGGTAGACAAGTTTGTAAAATTCAACGACTTTTCCAGACGAATCAAGTACTTTTCAAGAACCTAAACGGAATTCAACGACTATTCAAGAAGACTAGTAAAATTAAAGACCTTTAATTTCAAGATTATGTGAACCATGTGTATAGAAGAATTAGATATGAACATTGCAGTGGCTTCAGTTTAATCTAAAATCACAGATTTGTCGAATAAAAATGCTTTGCTGAATAAAAGTTCAAAAACCCATTATAACTGAGTCATGCGTCGTGTTTTTTTTTCTCTCTCTCTCCAGTTATCGTTTCTTCTCTACGGTGCTGCATGCTGAATATTGCTTTCTGAGTAACAACCACGGCCCACGAACAAATTGTGGTCTGCCCGTGGTGTAATTTTTCACTTCTCCTTATCAATCAAGCAAATCAATCAATCGTTCAATCAATTTTTATTTAAACGAGAGCCATTAGTGAACTAAAAAAGAAGGCTTGGTCTAACTATCGTAATGATACAGTCAAATCTAAAAACGATACTGTAGAAAGCGGCTGATATCTGGGGGGTGGCGGGGGCGCTTATAACGTAATGTATTTTTGGGTTTACAGGTAGATGGGCTTATAACTGAGAGGGTCTATGAACGAGGGGAGAGGGAAAACTTATAAGCGGAAGTTAGCGCGGTATCACCGAATACATGTAATTTTAATTATGACTTTTGACAAGTTAGGCATCTCGATCAAAGTCGTTTTGTAGTCGAAATTTTCTGCCAGAAGAGGCAGAAAGACAGGCTTGCGGTTTTTTTAATAAAAATAGCCCTTGATTTGTAAGTTAAAAACCGGAATTTCTATGTATTTAAGTTATTAGGTTCGGCTCATGAAAGGTTCGGTGTCTATCAGTGGGTGTTACTGTTACCAGAGCAACAGTTAAAGGTCAAGATCTTCAAAACATTAACTCAGACGCCGCCCACCTTGTTTTAGTCAACAAACAATGAAAATTACTTAGCTTTCTAAATCCTACAATTAGGGATCGAGAAGATAAGGTTATTTTCGCTGCCAAAACGTTGTTAATGACTATAGGCTAGTCAGACACTTGAAAGGAATCATCATATTATATATGTGTTGTTAGCTCGCTAAGTTTGCCTGACCTTAGTGTTTAGGCGCGGATAACCGCACACTGTTTATCGTTTGTCGTTTCAGC